GAGTCGTGTAGTGATGATGTCGCGAAGCACTATTTTCATTGGTATTACTTTTGGATTTGTGTACACGTTGGAATTGATTCAGATTGGTATAAAAAGGAAATTCTGTTCAGAGCCAGATAAGAGATAATCCAATACTTGCACTGAGTGGTCTAAACCAATTGACTTATTTTTGGATTGGTTGAATATGTTTTGTCTTATAGTAGGAGGATTATATTATGACGACCAGTTGGCTTGTGTGAACATGACTGTGGCATTTGAAAGGCAGGATATATTTCTATTACAAACATTTGTTGTTGTTGTAAATCGCTTAAACTTGCATTGTATATACTTCTAGAGTTGTTGTTGTTCATTCGTACATTGGTGGCTATTGTGGTACTGAATTTGTGTGTGGCAGATCATAACTTGCAAGGATTTCATTTGACACAAATGAGGTGGGACACTCAAAAGAAAGCTGAAATGCTTCACGAGAAAAACGTCTCACCAATCTTTGTACTTTTGATTTTTTGTACCTTATTGTATATTTTGTCTTTAAATGAAATGAGTTGATAAGGGACCTGGATCAGGAAAATTACATTCTCTAATTTATGTCGAAACAAAACATACATTATTTGTTGGTTAGCGGTGTCAAACACCTGTATGTGTAAACAATAAATTAGGTCACCGTTATTGTAATTAACTGTTCCATGGAATAGTTGAATCACAATAGCGATGATGAAAGATGTAAATTTGGTCTATTGTTCCTGATATGTGATGATAAGAGAAAAATAGGACTAACCTTTTTTTCGATCTGCAGATATTGGTTATAAGGGAGTGCAAACTAGGCGTCATTATCTGTTGTTATTGATAATTTTAGGTTACTTTATTATTAGCTGAAGATGACAATTATCACTTACATAAATTGTTGAATGTGCTTTTCCTGTGTCGTGTATGTATGCGTGTGATAAACATGATGGCTGCCCTGTCCTTGTGTTTTTGACGCTCGTGACATTTCTTATTGTTGCTGTAGAGCACTACAGTTCTTGATTATTAAAATTCAAACATTAAAATAACAAAAAAGAAAGTTATCACACTTCGGATCATGTTGTTGTTAATCTATATATTATTACAACAGTACTTGGCACAACATTCAAATTTGATTTTTCTCGTCTGGTTTTATAGTTGAAGAAATAACCAAAATTAGGACCCGCAATAATCTTGCAAAAGTGACAACAGAGTCAAAAAATTAACACACTGATAATTCAATCCATGCAATGGTATTTATCCTGTTTAATAGCCTCCAAGTCCTATCGTAAACATTTTCTTTTAGAAAATTTGTAATGGGACTCGCTGTGTGTCCTGAAAAATGTGTACATGAGCAAGTTTATGTGTGTCCCCCTTAGTCATTGTCGTCTTCGTTCTCTTTATCCAGTATAGGCTTGCTGCCGAAAATAGTTGTATACACATAAAAAAATGAAAATTCTCTCGATTTCATCCTTTTTTAAAAAAAGTTTCAACAAAATATGTCTCATTATATCGCTTTCTTCTTTTCTTTTGTTTTTGTTTTTTTTTTTTAATTATACTTTAGTATAATTTTTTGTTTGTTTATAAATGTATATACTTTTAAAAATATATAATAATAGTATGTATGCCTACTTGGTAAATAATTATTATTTACAATTTTAGTTTATATAAAAAAAATCGTCATTCCTTTTTTGTTCCGTTTCTTAAAAAAGATAATTTTTTCTCAAAAGAAAACTAAAAAAAAAAAACAATAATATAAAAAAACTTTGGGAGGAGGGTTTTTGGTAGCGGAAATGCGACACCCTTCCGTTTCTGTTTCTTTCTTTCTTCATTTTTGTTTTCTTATATTTGTAACGTCTTACTCTAAATACCCAATAGTATGATTTTTATAATGTCAATCGAAACGGATTCAACATTTTGTTCTTCATTAAATTATTAAACGAAGTAATTTTTGGAATTTTTCAATTTGGTATTATTATTATTTTTTTTAATTTTAAACTTTGTTAGGTTGTTTAACGATACAAATGTATTTTTTTAACAATTTTTTATTCAATGGGTTTGTATAGTTCATGTTTACGGGTAAAATAGTTGGTTACTGGTCGATGGTTAGTTGTTCAAGTTGGGTAAGCAGGATTTTTAGAATAAAAAATGGACCATAGCATAACTATGGCGGTTCTGTCATTCGGTTGATTGTGTTTTCTTTATCCAGTTGGGTTTATATGGAGAATATCACGTTCGTGACCTCTAGCTATCACACAGACATGGATTTTGTAGTAAACAGTGTGTTTCAATTGGTCGGTGGTCACAATATTGTCCATATTTCTATGGATTCATTCACATTCACCATTTCAGGATGTAATTTGAAGATATATCGATTTCAAAAACCTATATTTTGAATATCGGGTTTCCAACGCGTTCTGTTTGGTCCTCCAAAATTTATTTAATTTCGAATATTTCCAAATTGCATCCTAAAACGGTGACGCTTGATAGAGCGAATACTATTGATTAATGTTGACTTGTAATTAACACTATTAAGTAGTGTAAAGGAATTCGCCTTGTTTTTCACGGATGATATGATTTTATTGGAAATTTTCGTTTCGGCCTTTCAAATTTGTAGACTTGATTTTTTTTTTTTGTTCAATTTACCGGTATGAAAAGATCGCATGTAGTGGTTGCTATTATAATAGTTTTTTTTTCTGTTATCTTCATCGTTATTATTATTATTTAACTTATTATTTGTTTTTGTTAAATAGTGAATGTTTTTGTTTGTGTTTTTTTTTGCGTTAGGTTAGTTATCATTTAAATGTTTTAGAAGATAATGCACTTACATTGAGGTATTTTAATTACATTTTTATGTTTAATTTTTATCCTTCTTTTTGTTTAAGTCAATATTGATGGCCATAGTTGTTTTTGCCTCCAATTGTATTTATTTTTTGTTGTTGTTTCCAAATGAATTAATTTCCATTATGTAATAAAAATTTTGATTTGCCGAAAAACGTTGGTGGTGTGTGTTAATTTTGCATATGCCGAAATGTTGTTTGATATCAAAATAATAATAAATCAAAAGACTTTATCAGGAGGGGAATATTATTGTAGAGATGGAGTTATTGAAGTGCCATTGTCGTCTCAACAAAACAGAACTTGAGCTAAAAGTAGTTATTCTTTCATTTAAGCTAAACTATTTTATTATTCTATAATTTAAAAATATATTTATTATTTGTATAATGTAAATAATAGGAATTATTTTATTTTCTCAGTATTTTTAACAACGGAAACTACTTTACTATTTATTATAAAAAAACTGGAATCTATATTATAAAAAAAAAACAAAAACGTAATAATGAGTGGGTAAATGCTTGTAAAAAAGGCTATTGTAAATATTAATATTTGATTGTTTGATGCTCTTGGGATATGGTTAAGTTACAAAGGGGCCAACGTCGAGAGAGAAGTTCAAAACATTGAGGACCTTGGACGTTCCGTTTCGTCACGTCCAATCCTATTCACACATGTCCCACAATGCTGGACCCCTTTTAATGGCTATCTGTTGAGGTTCTAGGTTCTATTGCAAAAATGTTTTTGAATATATCATTAGTATCTCAATCTTCTATTCTTGCTCTTGTTGTATTTTCTTTAAATAACAAAATTAATTCATAAGAAATAAAAAAAAGGTTCATATTTAGTTTTAACAAAATCAATTAACATTTCAGCACCGTTTTAAGGCAAACACTTTTTTCGCTTCTTCTTCGTCGTCCCCATTTTCTTGGTTACAGATAACAAAGAAAATTGCATATTGTTACGAATCGGAAATAGTTCGTATCAAGTTAACGTGGTGAGAGACACGGATACTCTGATGACTATTGAATAGTCCCCCTACACATGTATACTTTGTTTTAATTGTAACGAAGGGAAATTAAATCGTTATCGGTTAATAGCATTCGACTTTAATTCTTTACTGTTCCTAATTGATTTCGAAATATCCTTTAGGTGGTTTTAATAAACTTGCTTAAAACTATTTCATCTCCATGTCATTGTTTCCCCACTATTGTAGTTTTATTTTAGACTATGGTTGTTTGGGATTCTGCTACACCACATTTATATATAATTTTGGAAATGTTCAAATTTGTTATGAAATTCTTACAATTACTATTGAATATGGTGTGGCGACATTCGATGCAAACAAAATTTAGAATTCTATATTTCATTCCAAATTAGTTATGTATGTTCATCGTTTTTCTGTGCATAAACATGCTATATGACGAACAACAATTTGCATAAATTTCATGATTTTCCCTCTCATACGAGTTGTAATTGTAGTGTGTGTGTGTTTTTTTCCGTTTTTTGAAATACCAAGACTTCAAGTAGATTTTATTGGTTTTTGAAAAAAATGCCGAAATATTTTATAATTTGGTTGTGGTTTTTGTTTTTAGATTATGCAAGCTTTTTTATTGTGTGTATCCAATATTATTCCAATAATAGTTGAAGCTATTATTTGATTTCTATATGATATCATATGTATAAATATTTAAGCGGGTAGGAGAAGGGGGTTCTTTTTGTTGGTAGTGGTATGTTTTGTGTGATTTCTAAATAATTACGACAGTAGATTGATTCTGTAATATACGAGTGTGCTTACACAATAAGCTTCAATATGGTGGAGTATACTGTGGGAGAAGACCGGATCTATTCTATATCCTTTATATATATAATATTTTCTCTGTGATGTGAACTTACAACTCAATTCTATCTCGATAGTGAATATAATTACAAAGAACTCATTACTTCACAGATTTGTTGATCGAAAGAAAAATTAAATAAAATAAAACAGTTTATGAATAGAGACGATTGATACTTAAAACAAGAGATTGACTGGCGGTGGTCTTGAAAGAGGTTATGCTTATCTTGTTTTTCTTCTGTTGTAATGTAAATATATATATGTAGTATATAGGAGGGGCGCGTTATTAAAAAAAGAATTTTAAACGAAAACGGTATTTTTAAAATTAAAAAATATATAAGTTTTAATAAATGCTTTTACACCCACAGTACTACGACATCTTACTGATTTGTACTCGCACCCTGTTGCTGCTGCTGCTGTTGTTGTTGTGATGATGATTGTTGTTGTTGCTGCTGTTGTTGTTGCGACCCACTGCCTGATGAACTTTGAGCAGCTTGCTGTTGTTGTTCTTTGGCAGCTTTTTGTTTTTTGGTTACAGGAGGAGGATTTGTAGACAACATCATGGCTCTAATACGTCTTTGGGCAGACTGGAATTGTAATAAAAGGAGACAACGTTGAATCCGATTTAGATTGGGAATAGCGACGGCAGACAATATGGCCTGCTCCAACTCACCTGGACACTATAGAATGGGCCAATTATGTGCACGGGCGTTTCTTCATCACCGCCCGATGTTGGCGCCAGCGCATGTTCGGGCAATTTGATGACACTGCCGGTGACACGTTGCAATTCTCGTACATTTTGACCACCTTTTCCAATAATACGGCCAACCTTTAACAAAGAGAAGCGAATTTCAGATTTGACTATATGTTTGCCAAACTAATACACCGTTCCACGGCATTGTCATGCTTACCTGTGAGCTGGCCACCAAAATTTCTACAGTCAATCGGACATCATCTGTTCCGCTCATGAAACCCTCTTCACGCATTTTCTCGAAAATCATATACTGGGCCTTCCATTGGCCCTCCGGCGTGCCGACAATGGTTACCTTACGTTCTGTCTGCTGTTCGACGGGCTTGTCATTGTCCAATGGGGCAATCTTTAACGAGGCATTCGAGAAACGCATTATACTGCGTATGTGTGAACCCTTAGTACCGATGATAGCACCCACAGCATTGTTCGGTATGTAAAGGTACGTAGTTTCCTGCATATCATTGGGGAAGACGGGTGGCACAACAGCGGCGGCGGCAGCGGCGGGAGTCTTCGACATGGGGAATCCGGGGCAGGGAGCATAAGGCATACTGGGATTGAATATCATGCCATTGCCGGGCGTAGACATCATGGCCATTGGCGGCAGGCCTGGGAACATGACACTCTGCGGTGCCATTGCCTGCAAATCGTTTTCGTAGCTTTGCCGCAACTTCGAACTGATTTGATTCTCGGCACGGGACATATTGTCAATGGCTCCCTTGACGGTGATGATGCGTTCCAAATTGAAACTGCTGATGTCGTTGATGGAACTGACGGTGATTTTCGTATCTGTTTCCTGCATGATACGCTTAATGGTGTTGCCGTTCTTACCGATGATGCGACCAATCAAGTTATTGTGGGCAAGGATCTTCAGGCATATCTCCCTGCAAGGAATTCAGTCAATGAGTAAAGATCGACAATCCATAGGCGAAATCACAGTACTTACCCCTTGTTTGTAGCATTGGCCTCTTGTTGCATGACTTCCAGAATACGTTTACAGGCATTTGTACAATTCTCAGGATTGCCATAAATTGTTATGGCCTTCTCCAGGGAACCGACGTTCTCCTTACGGTGCACATCGACACGGGCACGGCTTTGTTGTGTGATCGTGCGAATGGTGCTGCCCTGGCGACCAATGATGGCCCCAACCATTTCACTTTGTACCAAAATGCGGAGCGGGAAGTCCGCTTGACGTCCGGGTCCTGGCATGCCTGGATATGGATTTCGTGGATTGCGCTGAGTACGACGTTGATTTTTATCTAATTGTTCGGCGTGTAATTTGTTGCCTTCAAATTCGACACCGTTTAAACCACCAGCGGCTCTGAAATTAAAAAAAAAGAAAAATCGTTAGAATAACATTCTGGTGTTGAATAATCGTCATCAATAAAACGAGAACACACAATGAATTATATAAAAGAAAATTTTGGAATAGCCAATTATGAGAGGAAATTTAGGGCGTGTGGTATTTTTGACTCAACATTAATGGTTAGGGTTCTAATTCATACTACAACTTTGTCCTGATTTTAAACCGTCCTTCAATATTGAACGATGGATGGATGGATTTCTCTCTCTCATTCAATATTGCGGGACACAACTGATTTTGATGTTTTTTTTTTTAATCTGAACGAGTCAAGCCAAAAACCCATTACGTCTATCAATCGTATTAATAATGCCAAACATTTTTTGATATACATTCTTCTATGTCCATTATTCTGGGGGGAATTTCGCTTGTGTTCTTCCGCTTTTTTTTTCTTCTTTACTAAATGTATGTATGTATGTGCATGAATCAATGTACCTTTGGGCCTGTTCATGGTTCTCGAATGTTATGTGAACCGTTTGGGTCTGTGGGTCCTTACTAGAGACAGCCTCACATTGTTTGACGATGCCATATGGCTTCAAAAGAGGTTCGATGTCTTCGAATCGAGTTTGCAGCGGTATGCCGCTAATAATAATCTTTGACGTCGTAACACTGTGAACAAGAAAAGAAAATTGTGAAAAACCAGAAAACAAACTTCTGCATTTTTGTTTTGTTTTGATTTGTTAAATTAAACACACATACATGTAGTATACAATGTAATATCCCATACATACATATGTAAATATATATGTACATCATATATGGATTTCTATTTAGATATTATGCGGGAAAATGTAGAGTTATAGGGCAATCTGATCTACATGAAACAAAATAAAGGAGAGTAAGGAGGCTGTTTCTAATAAGGCATTGTTGTTGCTGCTGCTCAAGAAGCATACATAAAATGAAAACTACCGAAACACATTTTCCGATTGCAATTACCGCAAAAGATTCGTTGGCAATGGTCACAATTTCAAATCCAAAAGGAGGCATGGCTCTGGCATTTGTTAAAATGTTGAAACAAATCGTGAAATTCATTGGAAAGCGATATTAAATATTATCGACAATAACAACTACAGAGCAAACTCTCTCCATAAAGGATACTGATCTAATCTAATATTACATCCTGGGGACGCAGTGATCCGTTTGGAGATGGTACTGGATCATCGGATTTAAATTAAAAAAAAATGACAGAAAAATCCCGCCAAAGTTGTATATGGCCACATTCTTTGGATTGTCAAAAAATGCTTACTAACTGAATCCGATACTTTCAAAGAAATCGTGAAATATCAAATCGGAAAAAAGAAACAAATGAAAATGCAAATCTAAGCAAAACACAAACAACAGGGCACCAAATTAATCTAAAAAAAAAACAACAACTACGACAACATCATTGACTTACAGAAATGGATCTATGGCAAAAACACACACACAACTGCACCTAACTGACAGCCGAATAGTGGCACTGGGAGACATGGGGAACAGACAAATGAACAACAACAATAAACCCAAAATGTATAAAATTCCTGGAAAAACAGCACCAGCGCAGCAAAAATATGTGCAAGTTCAATATACTTCAGAAACTCCACTTCACAGACATCCGTAAATATGCATGCACATACCGACATACATACAACATACAGCCAAAAAGACAGACGACACAGACATTCTTTTGGCCCCACTTTTGCCTGGTTAAGTGACTGCCTGACAGACTGACTAAAAGCCGATACATTTTCTTATTGTTGGTGTTGGTATGTCGATGATCATCGCCGCCACAACGATGTTGATGTTGGCGATGATGACAGTGTTTGTTGCACTAGCAGCAGCAACAGCAACAAAACTCGATGAAAATATTTATGCCTTGGCTGGCGTTCTTCTACTGAACTAATGCGGCGGACGGTATGCAGCAACCACATCCTCTGGAATTTACAGTAAAAAGAACGTTAAACTTAATGTGTGTGTTCGGATACGTGAATCTCTAGGCAATGGAATGAGTGGCAGAGATCAGCATCTAGGTCGCCTACTATTTGCCTGCCTCCATCTCCCCTGTTGCAAACAATTCTTTCGAGTTGTTTGTGGCGAAGACGGAGCCCATAGTTAAACTGTACTAAGAGCCGGACGGACAGACATACATATGGAGGCACACATACCTATCAAAGTCCATATAATGCGTATACGAACGATTATAATGATTTAGGCGTTGGTCAGAGATGGCCAATCTTTGGTTAATAAATCCAATAAGTGGATATATATATATATATATATATAGAGAGAGAGAGAGAGAGGGAGAAAAGTAATCAAGGACCCAAAGTCATTGGCAAAATTTCAGAAATTGGACTGATGATTACTAATATAAGTAAAATAGGTATTAAAATGGATCTGAAGAATATAAATGATGTCATCGATTGGTTTAGCACTTCTAGCCAAACGTTTTTTTGTATTAACGCAGTAAAGTGGCACGATTTATAGGTTGTTAGTTGTTTTTGTTTTTTTTAACATCATTTCACACAATTTTGGAATGTGGATTATGACATGAGTAAATGGCCTTCTTGCTGATAAATACGCCAGATTTGGCAGACAAAATGATTTCATAGAAACCCTAATGTAGGAAACTATTGTCGTGCATATTATCGCCTTATTGTGAATAAGCCGATGGGGCCTAAGGTTGGACATTATTTCTGCAGTAAGTGCAACATCCGCAAATCAGACAGCAGATATTTTGTTATTCTTAACTTTAGACTTGTATTATTTTCGTTTGTTTGTGTTGTTGTTGTTGCTGTTATGGTTGAATCATCCCAGTGTTGGTGGTTGGTTACTCTGTTTGTATTTCCTCACAAAATAAGAATGTGAGCGGTTCCAGTCGTAGCAGAAGCAGCAGCATCCTCTTCATCATTGCCATAATTTTCCAAGAGCTTCATAAACATAACATCTAGCGAACGGGCGATCGAACAACGTCCAGTGTGAGTATATGTTCTGTGTGGATCAACAACATTACCAGGCCAGACCAGACCAAAACAACAACATCAACAATTATGCCATAAACTCTCAGCATGGCCACGAAATGCCATCGTCTGCATTATACATTTTCTTATCGTCGTCATCATCATCATTATGAAGTTGTAGTCAGGAATGTGATGCACTACGCTACGTTGCTTAGTTTCTTTTTTTCTCAATGAGTCTTGTTTTGTGGAGTTTGGCAGAATGGGAAATACCCACGCTTTGGAGCAAAACCCAGAGGGGGAGGGCGGGTAACTCATGGACTATCATAAAAACGCCTCAGAATGTTTTACTTTTTCAAATCGATGACATCGCCAGAGAAGAAAATAACAGAACAGAACTTGTTTACATACACACTACACTCCACATGCCAGGAATTCTTCGTCAGGTTGTCCCCTCCGCCGTCCTTTTCATAAACACCGCCTATGACCACTTCATTGCTGGTATTTCTGTGTCTGTATTTTAATTCTCCACCAAACCACCAGTTTGGCTAAAAATCGGAGCTTAGTTTTGGTTAGCCAGCTAGAGAGGAGACCATGTCGCAGAATTCCGGATGACATGACGCTGTTGTTTACCGCCAGCCACAATACAGGTATTTTCGTATGCAGACAGTGTCTTCAATAAATGGACAAATCCAATCGTCGTCGACGTCGAACACTGACTGTGATTGTGTGAATGATGCCAACGACGACTGATTTCTTGCCAAGCCCCCACATCTACTCCTTCTTCCCCAAAACAAGTTAATGTTAAGAATAGGTCAGCAGAGAGTTTACGTTGAGAGCTGGAGTAGATGGCGTCTGAACCACAACGAAAACAAAAGCTCATTTCAACAACGTTGGCCTTCTTCGAATGTTCAATCAGTGGAGTCAACAACAACAGCACCATCACTCTGGCGCGGCTTTCTTTTTGCCGCCTGTGCGTGAGTGAGGTCCGATGAATATGACCGACCGGGTACCCGCTTGTGGATATGCCTGTACAAATAGACCTTAACAGCAATCTAAATTTCATACATAATTAAAAAAAAAAAAAACAAAGTGCCAAACTATATTCGAAATGCTTTTCCAGGAATTTGTCTTAAGTTTTATTTTCTTGTGGCGGTTTCTTCTCTTAATTCAGATTTGGTTTGGACGCTTTGTTGTGGCCTTTATTTCTGGTAAAACCAGACAACAAATAACAACGTATCATCTTTGGTTTTGTTCGTTATTGGTGGTTCGTTTCTGATTCGGACATTCAGGTTATGCATATGTGCGTATATTTGCTGGCTTTTTATGTCAGCTAGTCCTTGTGTGTGAAAATTTCTGAGCATGCAACAACAAGATAAACAAAATATTTTACGATTACATTATTTATGTGTTTTTTATGAATTCGGGAAAGTATTGTATTTTTTTTTGGTGAAACAGAAATAATTTACATTGCATTTTCAGTGAGCGAACCTAGTTCGAAAATCGAAAATATATATATATATATATATATATATATGGAGCAATGCTAAACATTCCTACGGATGTATGTATATATTTAATAAAAATCATATATAATAAAAAAAAAACGGACAAAAAACTGTCATCAACTATAACTGGTCAAAAATAAAAAATACTTTCTATGGAAGTGGATCTCCATACGAAAGATCGCGGTAATAAAAGAACAACAAGGCTAAAAAAACAAAACAAAAACACATGCAACGTCATTGCAATTGAAAAGAAGAGCAAAGGAAACAAATATAAAACCACCATGCCATATATACATATTTTGCATAAACAACAACAACAACTACTCGTCGGGTACTCCGAATAATAACTCGAGTACAAAGTGCATTGGACAACAACAAGTAGGGGAGGTGGCAGGCAATGTGCATTGGTGGGGGCAAAATAACTCTCTCTCTCTCTCAAAATTGCTTGTACTAAAATTCTAAATATTTATACCAGTGCTGTGTTGCACTTAAAAAATATAATTTTTGTTTTGGTACGTTTATGTCCTGTTACGCTTGTTACAAAATTAAAAATAACGTCTAATTACTCTCTCAACAACAACAACAACCACAAGTGCTGTGTTGCACTTTCAGCCTGTTGCTCGTACAACAACAACAACAACACAGAGTGAGAGAGAAAGGCCGACCGACAGTGAGAGAGAACGAGGAAGGGAGAGAGAAAACATATGTAATGCAGCCAACACACGGGGAAGGCACAGTTTGTACTGCAAGTACAAATAACAAAAAAAAAAGAAAACAACAACAACACGAATTCCTTTTTACCACAGCGCCATGCTGCAGCACTTTATAACCCCACATCGCTACAACAACATGAATTGGTTGGGAAAACAAAAACAACCATTAAATCTGACAAACTTAACAGCATCGACATGCGAATCGAGACTCTGAGAGTTTTTCAAAACAACAACAACAACGATATTAAAAATACATATAAAAATAGCAAGCAAGTCCCACAATCAAGCATTGAGGCAGCCAGCCATTGAGAACAAACGCCCATTATCAACATCCATGCAAACCGAACAGAATTTATGAATGAAAATTTGTTGGTGCATTTTGTTGATTCTCCTCTTTGCCGTTTGTTGTTGTTGTTTTTTTTTGCTTTTTGACTCTCGACTGCGCAAATATTTTG